AGGAAGCCCTTCCCAGAATCACAAGGCCTTCAACGAAGAGAGGCCCAGGTTTATCTTACTCATTGCTCTATCCCTGCATGAGGACTACATTACAGCCTCTCGAACATTTGTTGAAAATTGAGTAAATAAATAAATTTGTCCCTGTCTGCTTAAATTGAAAATCATTTATCCCTCCGCTGGGATTCTTGTTTTTTTACAACATAGTGCTGGGTCTTCTATGTATGTAGGTGTCTGTGCCTGGGCTTGCTAGGAGACTATGAACAAATTGTGGGCAGGGACCTGCTACCCACTCTTACACCCCCTTGGCACCAGCAGAGCGCCTGCACCAGACAAGGACGCATGAACTATCTCTTGATTATGTAATCAATAAAGGAAATCCTTACTCATAGCAACATGTTTAAATGTAACCGTATCAACATATTTAAACTAAACCTCTTCACCCCGAAAGTTAAATCTTTAATCCTTTCAAGATAAGTTATGGTCTGTTTAACAAAGGAGAGATATGTCTCCCACTGACTCCCTCTACCATCCATTAGGTTCCATTTTTCTTTTTTAAAATAATTTATCACTATGTCTTCTATAACGCACATCTCTTTGTTCTAGTTCTCTGTCTCCTCCTTAGAAGCCTGAACTAATATCTATAAATAAATAATAGTCTCTTGATTGTATTTTCTAGTATAGATTGTTATGTAGGTCAAATTTCTCTGCCTTCTTCTTATACCTCCCTTATCTCCTTGTGAATGCAAACAGTTTCTCGAACGCTTTTCCCTAAATAAATGTCCAACCCTTAGACTCTTTTGCCCTTATAATTTTGTTACCATGGATTTGTTTGTTTGTTTTTTTTTAATTAGGCTTGTTGAAACCCTTTCTTAAAGGTAATTTTGCTAACAGGATTTTTTTATATTTTTAGAATTCAACCTAACTTTATCAGCTCATGATCACACTGCCAAAGGTTACCTGAGTTTTATGTTCTCCTACTCCGCAAGAATAGAATTAGGACTGTTACTGTCCTACGCATTTGTTCTTTCCTGCGAAAAATTTCCCCAACACATTCTAAGCATAGATTTTCAACTGTACTTTTAAAATGATCTGTCAGAAACATAATAGTGTCTATGATTTAAAAACTGCTTTCGACCAGCATCATATATAGGGTGGGGCAAAAGTGAGTTTACAGTTGTCAATATGCAAAACACAGAGTTTATTCTTGTATTAGTATTAATTATTGTATTATTTTCCATATGAACAACTGTAAACCCACTTTTGCCCCACCCTGTATTGGCTAGGAGTAGTAGCCCTTGATTTTAGTATTTCTCTCACATTACAGCCTAAAACAATATTAAAAAATTATGTATCTCTTTTATCTTTTAACATTCAAATCTGATAAGGGGTTAATATCCAAACTTTATAAAGAATTTATAAAACTTAAAACCTAATAAACAATCTACTTAAAAAATGGGCAAAGGAAATGAATAGACACTTCTCCAAAGAGGACATACAGGTGGCCAATAGACATATGGAAAGATACTCAACATCACTAATCATAAGAAAAATGCAAATTAAAACCACAATTAGATATCAACTCACAGCTGTCAGAATGGCTATCATCAATAAATCAACATACATCAAGTGTTGGTGGGGGGGAACTCCAGTGCACTGTTGGTGGGAATGCAGATTGGTGCAGCCACTATGAAAAACAGTATGAGTTTCCTCAAAAAATTAAAAATGGAACTGCCTTATGACTCAGTGATGCTACTCCTGGGAATTTATCCAAAGAAACCTGAAACACTAATTCAAAAGAACATATGCACCCCTATGTTCATTGCAGCGTTATTTACAATAGCCGAGATTTGGAAGTAGCCCAAGTGTCCTTCAGCAGATAACTGGTAAAAAAATCTGTGGTACATTGACACAATGGCTGTAATAGCTGGTTTGGCTCAGTGGCTAGAGCGTTAGCCTGCAGACCAGAGTCTTGGTTTCAATCCTCAGCCCTGGTCAGTCCTCAACCTGGTCTGGGTCGTATGGGAAGCAACCAGTCAATGTCTCTCTCTCTCTCTCTCTCTCTCTCTCTCTCTCTCTCTCTCTCTTTCTCTCTCCCCCCTCCCCCCCACTTCACTCTGTCTGAAAATATATGGAAGAATATCCTTGGGGGAGGATTAAAGAAAAGGATGGAACTCTTACCCTTTGCAACAGCATGGATGGACCTGGAGAGCATTATGTTAAATGAAATAAGCCAGTCAGAGAAAGACAAGTACCATATGATTTCACTCATATGTGGAATCTAATGAACAAAATGAACTGACAAGCAAAACAGACACACAGTCGTAGAGAGCAAACAGACAGCTGTTGGGGGAGTGGGGACTTGGGGGGCGGGGGAGGTGGAGGAGTGCATAGTGGGTAAACGGTGATGGAAGGAGACCTGACTTGGGTGCTGAGCACACAGTACTGTGTACAGATGATGTGTTGTGGAATTGTGCACCTGAAACCTGTATAATTTTGTTAAACTAGTATCATCCCAATAAATTCAATAAAAAGGAAAAATGCAAAAAATAAAATTCATATCAAAATTTTTCATTTTAGATACTTGAAAGAATCTAATGTCCTATGCATTATAAATATTGACATTTTAAAAGAAGGCTATAATGTCACTGTTTTAAATGTACCAAAAGGAATCTGAAATGTACCATAGCATTTTGAAGCTCATCATTTTTTCATTTAAACAATATGAACAGGGTCTTCTTTAAATCATAGACATTTACACTCTTCCCCCTTGAACTCATATTTTCATTTTATGTCCCCCTCAGCATTTTTTTCTTAATGATTACATAGTTATGCTTAAAAATATTTTATCATCTCTCCCTGTAATGAAATACACATACAGTTAAATGTTTTTAAAATTTCCTGTGATCATCAGCTTCGGTTAATTTTTTAATTTGATATTCTTTTTCTAACTAATATTAATATGCAATTATTCAACACATCATAAATAAGTTAAAAAATAATGAATAATTATCAAGTATAAAACTACATCTCTAAGTAACAGATGTAGCAGCTTTCTTTTCAATGAATTAAGTGGTCTGTGGCTGAATACCACCCTTCATTAGAATCAAGCACGCAGCATCCATCCAGTTCCCAGCTTGCTTCATTACAAACCGCTCACAGCAATGGATGCAGAAGTAGCCACGTTATAACAGTGACTTAATTCTTTGAACACCAAAGTTATCTGCAAAATCACAGTGACCTGTCATCTTATATATCATGTAATGATCTACCAGCTGACAGCTCAATCAGGTCCTTCTTTAATTTGGTTGAAAGCAAACAATTTAAGCATCCCCATCACTGGAGTTACCCATTATTAGAGTCATTCGCTTTCACAGTTTCTCAGAAGTATAGAAAAAAGGCTTTACCAAGACTTTTCAAAGGGTTGTTACTTATACCACAAATTCTTCCACTTAGAGGCATCTTATTCAGTCTAAGATATGCAGAAAAGAATGAGGAAATTACCTTTAATGATGTAATTTTTAAAAATGAAGTGTGGTTTTTTTGTCATAATCACTCTATATACATTTTTGTCAAAACCTTGGGCTTCCAGATTTAGAATTTTGCTTGTAGAAAAAGTCTATCTCATAGCCTAACTGGCCAAACCAGTCCTCATTATCAAACCAACTGGCCAAATCAAGCTCCTTGAGAGGGCATCCCCATGACAACCATCTCACTTCTGAATTCAAAACTTCAACACAGGCCACCATGCCCCGTTCCCAGTGCCATGCTATCGTCACCAAATTTATATAAGACAGAAAGATATCCAGCCTTAACTGAAGAAGACTTTGCTGACATCAATATATCAAACTGTTTCTTTGTAACTGCCTCTGAGGTTTGTGCACCCGGTGCATAGTAGGTTTCTGATGTGTGAGAGACATTTCTTTTTTTTTTTTAATAGAGAAAAGCAATTGAAAGGGGAAGAGGGAGAGGAGAATCAACTTGACACCTTTACGCCAGGTGTGTGCTCAGGCAGACCAACTTTAGGAAAGTGTCCAGATGCAAGTTGAGGCTCCAGAAATAATTGTTTTGAAACTGTGGTGCCCATGTCCCACTTGGAAAGTCTTTATCTTCCCCTAATGATACACATAAAACAAACCAATGGTGGTCACTGAGATGCGAAACAATGTAACTTGATAATGCCATCTCAGGGCAAGATCCAGTCAGTATTTTATTCTACCCTCACCCAAGGATATGTTTTCATTGATTTTAAAGAGAGGCAAAGAGACAAACATCAATGTGAGAGAGAAGTATCTATCGGTTATCTCCCATGTTCCCTGACTGGGGATCAAACCCACAACCTAGGTATGTGCCCTGACTGTGAATCGGAACCCACAACCTTCTGGTGTATGGGATGATGTTCCAACCAACCAAGCCACCTGGTCAGGGCTAAGTCATATTTTTAAAAAGGCCAGCGATCTAGACAATCTAACTTTATAAATAAATTTCTCATTTTCCACAAATAACTATACTTCATATTAGATAACTTGAAAAACTATTTGTTAGTCTCCTAAGTCTGTCTTTCTAACTTGCACATCAGTCTAACTTTTTAGAGTCCTCCTCCCAGCACTTACAGTCTGCATCATACACATTATACATATAAAGCTGTGGGAAAAGGTGAAATATAAATGCAGAGCAGGAGCCATTGCCCAGCATGGTAAGTATCTCAGAAGTCCCCTGTTTACAACACATTAGCACTGGAATTTCCTGCAAATAAACAACGGTGGCCATTTATTATTACCTGTAATGATAACAGTGGTTATTTAGAAAAGCAATGAAATCCTGGAGGTGCAATAAAAACCATCTGAACATTCAAAGAGAAATGTTGTCAAGCAGAATGATTTGTATATAAAGATAAACACTTTCGTAGAGCTTTAAATTAACATGGTTTTGAAAGGGGGAAAAAAGATCAGTTTCACTGTTTTTTCTCTCTGGGGACGTCACTGAGCGCCGACGACACTCACCGCCTCAGTGTGAACGGGATGCACAGCGAACAGCAGCGCCGTAACGAAGGCAAGCCCACGATTCTTGAAGACAGTTTTGTCGCAGGTGTACATCAGCACGAGGGTCACCAAGCAGTGCAAAATTACATTTACTGCATGAAAGTAAAATGGGTTCATGCCGGTCAAAAATATGTTTAGCCTGTAACAAAAAGACAAAGACGATTAGCTAGAAACAAAACATAAGCACAAGGAAATCAGAAGGAATCCATCATTTTAAAAAAGTAAGCTATTCAAGTAATTATTTTTAAATGACTCTCAACATCAGGCTACTCTACACATGGGAGTATCACTGTTTTCCGCTCTCAGAATTTTCAACTGAGTACGGTTCATTTGGATGAACACCTATGCACTAAGTGGCGTTGCCCACAGCTGTCTGTACCTCAGCCAATTTCTCCAGATCAGCAATCCCACATCTTCATTTCCATGTTCTTTACCTGCTTCCTGTAGAAACACTTCCTCCAGGCCAAAACCATTGAGAATGTACAAGTCAACTTGAGCAACGTCATATGCGTATTCTAAATGCCTGACTTGATTCATGCACAGCTTTAACCTACAGAATTTTAAGCATCTCAAGCTTTATTTGGACACACGGATCTAAATGTCTTAGTTACTCACCGGCTCCGTCTCCACTCCCACTGAAGTGACCGTGGTCCTAACTACGCTTAGAACAGCAGGCGGGCCCTGGCCAGTTTGGCTCAGCGGTTAGAGCGTCAGCCTGCGGTTCCGAGAGACCCGGGTTCGGTTCCCGCTAAGGGCACGTACTTCGGTTGCAGTTTGTCCCCAGCCCTGGTTGGTCGTGCGGGTGGCAGCCACTCGATGTGTCCCTTCACGTCGATGTTTCTCTCTCTCTCTTCCTTCCTCTCTCTCCCTCCCACTCTGTCTGTGCAAAAAATGGAAAAGTGTCCTCAGGTGAGGATTAAAAAAAAAGGACAGCAGGCGGCAGACCATGAGTCTGCGCTCCCCCGGAGTCCTTAGCACAGGGGCCTGGTATGAATCAACTCACCCGAAGGGAAGGAGGGCCCAGCAGTGAACTAGGGGGCTGGCTTGTCCAACCAAAGAAGGGAGAACAGTGTCCCACTCCCGTGTGAAAGAACCCACACCGGGCGAGCGAGCTGCTGGAAATCCGAAAGCGAGGCGCGGTGGAGCTGGACAAAGGGCCACACCCGCACATCCGCTTCCAGAGGTACTGTGTGTGTGAGCAGAGCAAGAAACAGGAGTATTCTCCTCGATGTACAAGGATGCACCCCCCTCTGTTAGGTCTACAAATGGCAGTAGAGAGAAAGCAAGACATCTAGTAAGCCAAATCCCTGATGTGCCTGACTAGTCCCACAGCTGTGATATGATACTGGAGATCAGGACTTGGGATTACAAATAACGGCACTGGTTTTAAAAGGAGACAAAGCTTGTTATTTTTCTAAAGTATTCATTACTCAACCATTCGAAAAGTAAAAAAGCATCATTAAAGATAGCTATTAGTACTACATCGTCCCACTTTTATGAGGTACATACATTCCTTGCCCTTCCCAAAAATGCCATAAGCGGTGGGCGTGAGTCACCTTTGCAGTCCATATGTATCATATCTGAAAATGTGGGGGTGGCATCCATATAGATTATGTCTGGAGATGGGTTAGGACAGAGTGCCTGGTATTTTAAGTGAATTCAATTAGATCCCAAAAGAGAAAAATAAGTTTCTGAATGGGGAACCACTGCAGGAAATAAGCCTCTCACATAGCACCCGACACTGGTCAATCTAAGCCTGGAGAAGTCATCAAGAATCTAGAGTTTGGAGAGGTTCCTAAGATGGAGAGTGAACTCTCCAGACTATAGGCAAGTGACCATGAAACAAAATGAGAAACAAAATTTTAGAACTTACTCTATTTGAGAGCATTGGAAAATCTCTGGTTTGGGGAGCCAATATGGGTTTAGAAAAAGGAGGTTTAACTGATCAACCTCATTATTTTAAAAGGATGGGGGATTGTGAAAGACACAGCACATCTTTATTTTAACAAAGGCACTTACAAAATCTCTCAGAATAGATCAGTGTCAGCTCGGATGGAGACTTCCAGTGTATGTCACAGGATTCTGATATTATCTCTGGTCTGTCCAATATTTTTATCAAAGACTTGAATAAATCTAAGCTTGCAGGAGATCTGTAACTGGGAAGGAGAATTACTATACCAGGAGACTGACTGATGGAGATTCACAAGGAGTTTAAATGCCTGAACTTGTTCAATTCTAACACAGAACATGGAAGAGTAAAGAGCCACGTTTAGACATAAAAGAGAACAAAATATTGCAATCAGATTAAAACTGTACACATGGTATTGTTCAAGGGCTGTTAGTTTGCCCTAAACTCAGAGTTATTATGTCTTGACTATCAAAACAGACCAAAGCACCAACAGGCAGACAAACTAGTTTTCATTTCAATTCACTCCAACAGGTATTTATTGAGCACCTACTACATGTCAAGTATGACGTAGGACCAAGAAATACAAACAAAAGACATGGCATTTGCTACTAAGGAGTTAGCAGCATAGTAAAAGAAAGAGAGACACTTAAACAGATAATTAATAGTTCATTTTTAAAAAATCTAGCAATGGGAGAAACCACCGGGTATAGAGATATGGAAGAGGGAGGGGGTCTACCTGCAGGCAGGAATGGGAAGGTGGGTGGTCTCCAATGTGAGACAGCAGCCCCTTGGAGGGCTATGTAAATGCTGGAGCACCTTTATGGGAGAGCTCTAGGATGCCAGGGGGATGGGAGGGTGCCAAGGTGATGTCTCAGGACACTGGGGATGCTCAGCCTAGAGAAAGATGACAAAATGAAACCAAGTTTTCCAGGTTAAAAGATCTTTGCCATATTTATGGTTATATCCCCAGTGTCTAGCACAATGTGTGGTTCATGGTGGCCACACAATCAATAAATAAATGGATGGAAGTATGAATGAGTGAATGAATGAATGAAGCAATGCACTTATTCTAAGTAGCTCCCAGAGGGGAAACTATGATCCAATACCAATGTTGCAAACACACTGCCCGAGAGCTAAGTTTAGCCTGCAAATTGTTTTGTTTCACCTGTATATACATTTTCTTTTTTTAAATACCAACATTTTTAAAACAGGTGTTTTCACATAAAAATTTCCAGCTTCACTTCAAATATTAGAAAACCTGGCAACTCTGGGCCTCTATAGCTGCATGGAAATATTCGGGTGCCCACTTAGATGGCACAGGTACTCACAATTTGCCACAGTGCCTGCCAACTCCTCGGAGGCAGACTTGAGCTCGAGGCGAGAATATTAACTCTAGAGTAGGTGCTGGAAGAACACGTCGTCCGTGCAGAAGCAAGATGGCAGTGCGCACGGAACACCCTCTAAAAGGAACGGTCTCTCGAGTTCCACATCCATTACATCAGTTTCTCAACATGCTTAAACGCTTTTACTGCATGCTTCAAACACTATAAGCATGTTTCATACATTGTAAGAAATTAATTTCTTTTCCTTATCGTATCCATCACACTCAGCATGCAGGGGATTCTAAACAAAGTTTACCGAATGAATAAATAAAACCAACAACAACTTGGAAGTTGGAAAAGCTCACCTTACCCTTCCAACGCTACAATCTCCAATTTTCATTTGATGTAGCCTTCATTTCTCATTAAAGCTAGGCCAAGCAATTGGAAATACATTTCTTTTTTCTAAAATAATCTTAATAATCATGTTCGAGTGGTTGAAAGCCTTCCAGATTTTGGCAAATACGGACGCAAAACATCCCTCCTCCATCTGACCCTCTCTGCCTCCTTGTAAAGCTGCCCAGAAAGGTGGAGATAATGAGTTCACAGCAATCAGAGGGTACCAGTCCCCAGGAAAGGTCACAGGTCACACAGTTTGGCACCAAGGAGTCTCAGGAGGAGGGTGGGAGTGGGGAAGAGCCTTTGGCTGTCCCCTGTCTCCTCACACGCTCACAGCCCAGAGCCCTAGACAGAGCCCATTTCTCTCTTTTTATTGTATTCTTTGAAAAATAGCTCTGGTTTAGGAAAAAACAAGCTGTATCTCAGGAAGCGCCTTCTACTAGGGACTACACTGGGGTCCTTCCTCAAGGGGGCCCCCCACCCCATCTCAGTCAGACAGCTCTACCTTCAAGCAGCCGAGAGGTCTGGCTGGAAAGGGCGTAAGAGGCCACGCCTCTCCATCGGTGACTCACGTCTGTTTTCTGGCACCTACTCCATCCCTTGGGATAACATAACTAATCAGCCACCACCAATGATCCCTGTGGGTCAAAACATTGTGATTGCCCCTGAGTCCCTGCTGCCTTCATGGTAAATGCACTCACCTCGTCTTTGGCAGCCAGCCTCTGCAACTTGGCCTCTGATACTCCAGGATCCCACACCTCCCCCCCCCACCCCGAAATCAGAAAGCCCACCTCAATGGCAGCATCTCCCACGTCATACTTTTTCAGAAAAGAGCCAATGCAGAGCTTCCAAAGCTGCTGGTGCTCTCTCCCCAGTGCATTTTTCTATGTTGCAGTGAAAGGAAATCACCTGGCCCGCTCAGGGAATGACGCAGAGAGATGGGCCGAGGTGTCTGCAGGCAGCATGTGATAAATGCATCCTAGCATTCCTAGCCCTGAGCCTCTGGACTCCTTCCTCTACATTACGGCAGGAAGACTCATAAATACAGGTTCCCAGGATTCTAAAGCACCTTGCGTAATAGCTACAATTGCTGATTCCCTGATCCCATCCCAAGATATTCTTAATCAGTAGATCTAAAATGGGGCCCAGAGACATGCCCCAAGCAACCCAATGATTCAAGACAGGTGATACGCAAAACAGAGACAGGTCTCAAAGCTTAAGGGAAGGCTACACATGGTTGCCACGCTTACCAGAAAAATCCAGTTTTCTCAGTAATAACACGACATACATTCTTTTCTGATAAGAACTACAAAGCAGGGAAAAGAAAAAAAATGAAATGTACCCTTATCATCTGTTTCTGCTGTCTCGAATGATGGGTTCTCCAACACTTCCCTGGTGAGTTTCCACAGCTCAATACTGAAAACACAATATATTCTCCTGTCTTCCTCTATCACCATTCGTTTTTCTTCTTCCCATCTCTTGCTATCATCACTGCTCTCAAATGCTTCCAAG